TGGGACAAATTCCTCCGAGTTATACTTAAACCAGGGAGGCTTAGGAAGGGTACATGACTTTCCTAGTAGGTGGAGTATTAAATGAATGAATGAGGAGCAGATGGTACAAAGTAACTCCGGGCTTTACATGATTAGAGTTCTCTGTTCCTCTGTTCACCCAAGACAACCTAAATCAAGCCACTTCTGACTTTTTCCCCACTCAAAGTCCTTCCGTCCATCCTGACATGCCCCATGGAGGAAGAACCCTGAGGGAGCCATGATGTGAAGTGAGAAGTGGGTATTACCAGGCCCCCAGGTGGACAAAAGAACTGTCACAGGCTCTTGTCATTGCCTTCTTCCCACATGCCAGCATCTGGCATGGGCACCATGCTGATGTATGCTGGAGCCACTGTAATTGTACTGGTTCATGAGACCCGACTGTTCAATTTTCAGTGTGAGCATTTATACCTCAGAAACTGGCAAAAGCTACAAATCAGAGTTTTGTTTTGTTTTGTTTTGCTTTTGCTAATTGCCCAGAGTTACGAAAATGATGGAGAAAATGTTAATGAAACAAATTAAACTTAAAAGTTTATGGCTCCTACCTTTTTCCACCCAGAGACCTAGTTGTTAACCATTTACCAGCATGCCCTTGACTACATAGCATAGAATCCTAGAATCTTAGAGCTGGAAGGGGGCCCAGAGAGTGTCTAGTCCAACTCATACCCCCAGAGGACTCTCTTCTACAGTGGTTCCAATCATTGTTCATCTAGTCTCTGTGTAAAGATCTCCAGGGATGGAAAACTCTCAAGGCAGCTCGAACAATTGGTGGAAAGTTCTGTTTATTGTGCAGTTCTTCTTTTGAATGAGCTGAAGTCCTCTTCACTCTAATTTACCCCCATTGCTCTTTATTCTGTTCTCTGAGGCCAAGCAGAATGGTTGTCTTTCTTCAGAATAGTTTTTCAGGCATTCAAAGACATCAGTCATGTCTCTTTTCTCACCCCAGCTGAGAAGTCTTTTTCCTTTGCTCAGCATCCTCTGATTCTTCCACCAATCTTCATATGACATGATTTCCAGTACCCCTCACTAATCCTGATTGCCTTCCTCCTAAAGTGAGGATCCCAGAACTGAACTCAATACTTTAGATGGGGCAGAGGTCAGTAGGACCTCTGTTGAATTGGGAATATAACTTCAGAAATAGTGACCTCCAATGACCCCTGTTAGAATGGCCCAGATGTTATGTGCAAACACTTTTGAATTTCTCACAAGGAAGGCTGGTCAGAAAACCTAAAGAGCATATGATGATTCAGATAGGCATTGCCTCCCCTGTTCTTAGGTGAGTTTTCTCTCCTATCTTGATGACATCATGATGTTATCCTGATTGCTCAATATACCCTGAGAAACTCACCAAAGATTAGAACTGGAAAGATCTTTTCATCTGATGTGCTTCTTTGAGGTCTACAGAGGGGAAGGAACTTACCAAAAATCCCATCCTATGTTAGTGGCTCACCCAGGTTTCCTGACTCTCAACTCCTATTCTACCCAACACCTAACTATAGCCACCAGAATGATGAGAAGGGGTTGTTACCATGGGGGATTCTTCCTTTGGGTCTCTGAATAGTCCATGAGTACCTTCATTGTTCCTGGGGTGCTGATTTGCTTTAAGTTGTCAATGATTCAGATATTCTGATTTTAGACTGGGAAGCTGAAACGATATTTCACAGACCTGGAGGCCTTGGCCATGGTGACTGCTGCTTTCTGCCATGACATTGATCACAGAGGCACCAATAATCTTTACCAGATGAAGTAAGTGAGCTCAGATCCCCAAAGGACCTTCCCAGCCAATCTGGGCAATTTGTAGGAGACTCCTTTCTTCTCCTTATCATCATCCTCAGAACCATAAAACTGTGGAAAGGTAGACCTGGAAGAGACTTACTTTGGGCAAATCATTTCCCATCTCTGGGCCTTTGTCCTTCTGTGTAAAGTGAAGAGGTTGGACTAAGTGACCAGAAGGTTTTTAGGCCCTTTCCAGAAAGCTCTGATATTTTGTGTTGTAAAGATCTTTCATTTCTGACATTTCACGTTCTGTGTTCTAAAGTCTCTTCTAACACTTACATTCTGTGTTCTATGTTTTGAGGTCCCCCTCAGAGCCTACACTGTAATATTCTAATGACTGCAATGTTCTCTACCCTGTATTTTCAGATCCCAGAATCCACTGGCCAAACTCCATGGATCTTCCATCTTGGAAAGACATCATTTGGAATTTGGCAAAACACTGCTGAGGGATGAGGTACAGTTATTAGATTCTGTGCTTCTTTTCTTTGTTGACATTTTTAAAAAGCTTATCTATGCAATTTGCTTTTATATCACAGTCATTTTTGCTTGTATCTGTCTTTCCTCCCTTTTCCAGTAAGGCTTCTTCCATAAAAACAATAATATCAAAATGTTAAGCAATGTTACTAATTTGTTAATCATGTTTGAGTAAATATGCATTAAGCCCATAGTCCTTTCCAATGAGAGGAGGGAAGTACATTGTATATGACTATAACTCTAAAGCTAGAAGGTACTTTAGAGGTCATCAAATTAAAACTTCTCATTTTATCAAATTTTTTTTTGTTATTTTTCCCCTTTTTTCTTATGCCTTTCTTTTTTTCATCAGAATTTTATTTTAAAATATTTAGCATTTATTTTTTTCTTCTTCTCACCTCTTCCCACACTGGAAAAACCAACTAGATTAGGATTGCCTATTTCCATGACTATGACATGCAGCTTGAGAAACCTGTTGGGTCAGCCCTACAGTATGTGTATTTTGAATAGATATGTTAGGTAATGATCTGGTCCCAGAATTGACTAGGAAGGAGGAAGAGATTGCATTCAGGAAATTTTGTAGTGTTTTTGACAGTCTTAAGTTGATCCCTGTCCAAAAAACCAAACAAACATTAATATTATCCTATGTACTTAAATGCATATGAATGATGAAACGTATTACAATTTCTGAAGAATCCAAATTGCAAGTCATTCAAAGGACAACAGAAGAAACCATCATTGAGAGGTGGCATGGTATCGTGGAAAGAGTACTAGATTTGGAGCCGGAAGACCTGCATTTGCATCTTACCTCTGATAATTATTCTTTGTGTGACCTTGGACAAGTCACTTCTCTGGGCCTCTGTTTCTCATCTGTAAAACGGATAGGCTGTATTAGATGGCCTCCGAGGTCCCTTCCAATTTTTAATGTGTGATCATTGTTCATGGTGGGTATAAGTGGACTGCAGTTTATCAGCAAATTTGACTCACGGACAAGACGTGATGAAAGGGATGCTATGCAGGACATGTATCATAGAAGCATTTATTAAGTGCTTACATCGTGCTAGGCACTGTGTTAAGTTCTAGGGATACAAATATCAGTTAGCAAAAAAAGGCCCTTATCCTCAAAGAGCTCATACTATAGTGTATGAAGGTAGGACATAAAAAAGGTGAACTGAAAATCTTTAGGGTTAAAGAAGTAGAAGAGGGTACTAGTGAAGAAGTCAAGGTAACTGGAAAAGAGGAAAAACAAGAAAAGAAGTCTAGAGAGTTGAGTCATGAGTGACATGGAGCATGGCTGAGGCTTTCCTGACTAGGTCTGGGAAGACAGCCACCAATTAGGAGAGTGGGACCTCAGAATGGAGGCATCTTCATGGTGGCAAGTTGGCTGACGAGGGGGAAGAAGAGAATTCTGGAGAGTAAAATCATTGGAGGAGGTGGGCTGGTTATATAATAAGAGCAAAGGATAATAGATGGACAACCCAAGTGCTGCCTTAGTGCCCATGGAATGATACAAGACCTAGAGGTCCCTTCCCACCACAATGAAGATCATAGTTAGGCGGCAGGAAGAATCTCTGTGCAGGATTTGTGGGAAGTCATGGACCAGAATAATATGATGAGAAAGCATAGGTAGGTTACAGCTTGTGTCTTTGGAAAATATATCAGCATTGATCCATTCAAATATTATTTTTATTCAATTTTATTTTATTTTCAGTTCCAAATTCTCTCTTTCCCTCCATTCCATCCCCCACCCATTGTAAGGGCAAGAAATATTAATTTATACATATCCCTGGCAAGGGTGTACATATAGATGATAAGGTTGATGTAGGCATTGCCAGAGCTACCTCAGCGTTTGGGAGGCTCTGAAGGAAAAGTGTGGGAGAGAAGAGGTATTAGACTGCCTACCAAACTGAAGGTCTACAGAGCCGTTGTGCTAACCTCATTGTTGTGTGCCTGTGAAACAGGCATATAATCTACCAGCACCATGTCAGAAAACTGAATCACTTCCATTTGAATTGCCTTAAGAAGATTCTGAAGATCACCTGGTAAGATACCAGACACTGAGGTCCTTTCTCCAGTTAAATTGCCAAGCATTCAAACTCAAATGCAGAAAGCACAACTCTCATGGGCTGGCCACATTGTTTGAATGACAAACATTTGCCTAAAAGACTGTTTTGCAGAGAACTCATGCAAGTCAGGCATTCACATAATGGTCAGAAGAAGTGATACAAGGACATTCTCAAGATCTCTCTAAAGAACGTTGGGATCTATTGCGTGACATGGGACATATTGGCAAAGGACTGCCCAGTATGGTGTGCCCATATCAAAGAAGGTGATGTGTTCTATGAACAAAGAAGGATTGCAGTAACTCAAAAGAAACATAAGATGAGTAAATTTAGAGACATCTCTACTCCAAACATTCATATGGACTGTTTGTCCTTAACCTGTGGTAGAGCCTTCCAAGTTCACATTGGTCTGATCAGACATAGTCAGACGCGCTGTACCTTGACTCCAACATAATGATGTCATTTTGGCCTTCTTCAAGAATGAAAGACAAAACCAACCAACTACACACACATATACACATGTGTGCATGTACATATGTGCATGCATGTGTATGTATGTATGTATATGTGTGTGTAGTCAAACAAAAGATATTTCCAAATTAGTAATGTTTAAAAAAAAACAAGAAAAAGAAAGAGGAAAAAAATATGCTTCAATCTCTCCTCTGAGTCCATCAGTTCTCTATCTGAGGTGCATAGCCTTTGTCATCATAAGTCCTTTGGAATTGTGATGAATCATTGTATCAATGACCTGTAATATTAAAAAATGAGATAAAGGTAAGATAAAAAGGAGTATTACACATGAGCCCAGCCTTCACTGAGAGGCATCATGGTATAGTGAGAAAAGAGGTGGCCTTAGAACCAAGAATGCCAGGGTTCAAATCCCACCTCTGAACCATGCTGGTTGTGAGACCCTGGTCAAGTCACTTAATCTCTCAGTGCTCTAAGCAACTCTAAGAATGTAAATGGTAGCAGAGAAGGGATTAGGATTTTTACTTCCTCTACCTCTGGCACTCACCTTTGGAAGTGAGTCTTTTCCAGGTACTTCTCTTCTCCATTAGGTGTGACTTTCTTTCTAGTCACCATCCTCAGTTCTATCCTGTGAAGGGATCTCCTTGAGCATGACAGAGTGGAACAATGGGCAAGAGGCCATGTAGCCTTCGGAGACACTTCATCTATCTTCTCCTCAGATAGAAACTGCTATTAGGAGGAAAAGCTGGATTCATGCTTTTATCCTGTTTTGAGAAATTATGGAATATGTGTCAGTAAAATTCTCTTTCATATAGTTCCAGAGCCCCTCAGCTGAAAATGATCTTGGCAACTTGCAAAAGTCTATTTTCTTTCTCAATTTTCTTGTCTGTGTTTGGACCTTGTTAGTTACTATCTCTCTTCCTATCTCATATCCCCCATTGCCCTTAATGAAATACATACACATAAAAATTTCTTTAATCGACCACACTTTTACCTTATGATGACTTTTAATATTAATTGAACAGCAATGGTAATAAAGTTTAAAGAAAGGTCAACTTTGGATTTATTATCACGTACTCTCTAAAACAGGGGTGAGGGGGGGCATGTAGGAGAGGATAAACAAGGACGGGCAAAAAGCTCCATCTGGTATCCGTTCTCCTGAATAGAAGAACTTCAGCAATGACTGATCCACCAAGGTACGCTTCCCATCTTGGTCTCAGGAAAACAACAACGACACCGATAACAACAACGGCACTCTGCACCTCTCATGTGCCAGGCGCTGCACTACGTGATTCACAAGATGTCTCCTAACCACGGCAAGGGACAACAGCAGACCGTACTCCCGTCTCTTCAATCACCAGCAACCCCGCCTCCCTCCACACCCAGTCCAGTCTTTCTCAAAACTCAAGCGCAGGACATTTGAGCTCCTCCCTGCACCCATACATCTCACCTCTTTTGAGACTCCTTTTTCACAGCGAGAGAATAGTCATATTGTCTCTTTAGGGCATAGGGGCTCTTTAGCTGGTGGATCCAAGCAGATGAAAGCTTTCCTTCCCATTGAGCAGGTTTCATCTCAGCTGCTCCAAATCCTTTGGTAGGAGGATGCTACAGCTTTACAAATACACTTCTCTTTTGTATTTCCTCAGAGTCTCAACATCTTCCAGAACCTTAATCGAAGGCAGCATGAGCATGCCATCCACATGATGGATATTGCAATCATTGCTACTGACCTGGCCCTTTATTTCAAGTATGTGTTTCCTCTTCAGCTAAAGGAGGATTTTTATTCATGCAACTTGTAGAGTTTAAAAGTAAAATGCAATAATGCATGGGGACACCCTTCAATTAAAACCAACAAACATATATTAAGTGCTTGCTATTTGCTAAGCACTGGGGATTCAAAAACAAAACTAAGACAGTCTTTGACTGCTAACATTCTGGAGAAAGATAGAAGGTAAAAGAGAGGAAAGATAGGAGGGCAGAGAGAGGAAAGATAAGAAAGGAGTGGGGAGAGAGGGAGACAGACAGAGACAGAGACAGACAGACAGAGAACTAACAACTGAAGGCCTCAGGGAAGGGAAGGTTTCATGAAGAACATGACACGTAAGATGAACCTTGAACAAATACAGATTCTGAAATATGAAGAAGCAGTACATTCCTAACATTGAGGACAGTATTATATGACTGCACAAATATGGGAAGTGGAATGTTGAATTTGGGGAGCAGCTAGGAGTTTAGTTTGGCTGGCATGTAATGTGTGTGAAGAGGAGTGAAGTTAGGCAAGGATGTAAAGGTAGGTCAGAACTGGTTTGTGAAGGATGTTGAAGAGCAGGCTGAGGAGTTTGTATTTTATCCTAAAAGTAATGTGAAAATACTGAAAGTTTCTGAACGGGACAGTATTACCTGGATTAAAGATGATGGTGATGAATAAAAACAATAACAATATCAATAATGCCGATAGCTCTCATTTTTATAGTGCTTTAAAGTTTTTAAAACACTTTTCATATGTTAACTCCTTTGAATCACATCAACCTTGAGATGGGAAAACTGAGCCAATTTTAGAGGTTATATTAGAGGTCCTATTATTTGCCCAGGATCATACAGCTAGTAAGGAACATTTGAACTCTGACCTTCCTTACTCCAAAGCTTACACTCTATCTATTGTACTACCAGCTGCCTGTCGAGAAGAGGGAGTGGAACCAGGGAGGTCAGTTCATAGGCTGTTCGAGGCAGCTAGTTGTTACAGTGGATAGCACACTGGGCTAGGAGTCAAGAAGATATAAGATCAAATAAAGCTTCACTTGCTTATTGGCATGTGACTCTGAGCAAGTCATTTAACTTCTGTCTGTCTCAGTCTTCTCAGCTGTAAAAAGGGGATAATAATAGCACTTACCTCCCACTATTGTTAAGAGTGTCAAATGAGATAATATTTGTCAGGAGTTCAGCACAATGCCTGACACATAGTAGTTGCTTAATAAATGCTTGTTTCCTTTTTATCTGAGCATTTTGGTAGAGAAGGCGTGAGGCTCTGAACTAGGGTGGTTATGTAAATGGAAAGAAGGGGATGTATTCAGGATATATCATGGAAATAAAACTGACAAGACTTGGAAAACTAATTGGATATTGTAAAGGAGATGGAACTATTGAAAATGGCTTTAAGAATGTGAAACTGGGCAATTAGAAGGATGAGGGTACCCTCAAATGAATGAGGCAAGTTAGGAGGAGGTTTGAGTTTAGGGAGGAAGAGAATGAATACCATTTTGCGTTTATTGAGATTAAGATGTTCATGGGACAGCCACACAGAGATCTTCTGCAGGTAGTTTTATAGGTGGGCCAGGAGTTAGGAAAGAGATTATGGCTGGAAATGTTGGTTTGGGTATCATCTGCTCAGAAGTGGTCTTTGACCTATGATATCTGATGAAATTGCCATGGGAGAAAGGGTAGAGGGCTGAGGGCAGAGCCTCTGGGGACACCCACACTTAGGGGCTGAGAGACAGATGGTGATCTAGCGTGGAAGAATCAAGCAGGGAAACATGGACCCAGGAGAGAACAAGACGTGGCTGAGGGAGAGTGTCCAGGTGGAAGGGTGGCCAACAATGTCAAAAGCCACCAAGGTGGAAAATGGAGAAAAAGTCCTAAGATTTAGCAGATAAAAAGTTAATTAGTAATGTTGATTTGTTTTGCTTGACTGTATTTATTTATTTATTGTAGGAGAGAACTTATATGAGGGGAAGGCTTAATGGGTAGTGATAGAGATACCAAAAATAAATAAATAAATAAATAAATAAAAAGAGGATCAACAAAAAATATAAATACAGAGAAGCTAACAAAGTTCAGAAGGGAGCACAAAAAGGCCGATTTGGTTAATACTTTGTAAAAATTGAATATTATTGTTGTTGTTTGGTCATTTCAGTTGTGTCCCACTCTTCATAACCACATTTGGGGTTTTCTGTGCAAAGAGACAGAAGTGGTTTGGCATTTCTTTCTCTAGCTCATTTTGTAGGTGAGGAACTGAGGCAAACAGGGTTAAATGACTTATCCAGAGTCATACAGCTAATAAGTGTCGGAGGACAGATTTGAACTCGGGAAGATGAGTCTTTCTGACTCCAGGCCTGGCATTTTATCCACCAAGCTCAAATTAAACATATTAATTTTTCAAACAAACTATATATAATAAAAGTTCACAATTTCCTACACAATCTTCATTTCTCTTCTTTGTCTATTAAAATGTTTTTGATTGTTGGTGATTAAATTTACAACATAAAAAGAGCATTTAAAAACAAAATCAGGGCAGCTAGGTGGTGCAGTGGATAGAGCACTGGCCCTGGAGTCAGGAGGACCTGAGTTCAAATCCAGCCTCAGACACATAACACTCACTAGCTGTGTACTGCATCATATAAAATTAAATTTAATTAATTAATTAAATAAAAAAGAAATCAAATGGTAACCTTGAGAGAACTATATCAGTAGTGTGGCAGGGCTAGAAGATAGACTGCAAAAGACAGAAGTAAGTGGATAATAAGAAAGTAGAGGCAGTGAGTGTAGATGACCCTTTTAGAGAGTTTGACAGTGAAAGGGAAGAAAGTTGTAGGATAATAGAGTGAAGGGATGACAAGATTAAATGAAACATCTTTTAGGATTGTGCTGACCATCCTTAAGCAAGTTTGTAAGTATTGGGTAAGAAGACAATAGATATGGAAAGATCGAAGATGAAAGGGAATAATTATCGAAAAGCTCCTGGAGGAAATGGATTTAAGAGCACAAGGAGTGTTGTCAATGGCCATTGACATTAATGGCCACCTATTCCTGAGAGACCAGAGTAAAGAGGGAAAGGATGTATGAAGATTTTGAGATGTGGAATAGAGTGCACATGATGGAAGGTCTCCATAAAATATATGCCAAAGCCATCTTAGAAGAGGGGGCTGGGAGTGGGACAACTACCATAAGATGAGAGGAGAAAGAAAGTCTGAAAAAGCTGCTGAGATGAATGTGATGGTCAATCAAGGAAGAATAAAAGACTGATGTAGTAGCAAGGATTCAGCTGAAAACAAATAACACGAATTTATTCATATCATCTTGGTAGTGGACCAGGCTGGCACGGTTTTACGTGACTTCTTTCAGCACCATTAAGAACCATGAGAGAGAGGTGGGATGGTAGCAGTAACTAGGGGTGAGTCAGCTCAAATGGGCTCCAGAGAGCCAAATGTTAAATTTTCATTTATGAGCATTTACACCTTAGAAATTAGTAAATGCTGCAAGCCTGGGCTTGATTTATTTATTTATTCATTTTGTTGTTGTTGATTATCTAGACTTAAGAAAGCTAAGAAGAAAATGTTAATAATGCAGAGTAAATTAAAAAGTGTGCCCCAGGTATTCCCCCCACCCTCCACCAGAAATTGTTAAACATTCATCAGCATGCCCCTGGGTGGTGGTGGGGTGAGGGGGGCGGTTGGTGACTGGCAGTTGAGGATTGGTTGGGCATGAATGGCCGTAGGACAAGGGAGCAGGGAATTATTTCAAAGAATCCTAGATTTGGAATTGTAAAGGACCTTAGGGATTCATTTATATCACCTCACTCTAAAGGTGAGAAAACTGGGTTTAAGTAATTAGCTTAAAAAGTTAATTAGTGTTGTTGATTTGTTTTGCTTGGGTTTAAGTCATTTGCCCAAGGTCACACAGGAAAATAAGGTGCAGAGCCAGAATGCCAAACCAAGTCATCTAGCTCCAAAGCCGGGGTCTTTTCCATTATATTATGCTTCCTCTGGAGAGACGAGCTAATCAGTTATTGGGCCAAGACTGTGAAGAAAGAATGGTAAGGACAAAACAGGGGCGACTGATTGAAAGAACAGAAAAGATGGAAGGGACTGAAGAACTGATTTAGGAGGAATAAGGCAGAATGATAGATGGAAGATCAAGAGAGGTCAGAATCATGAGGGTAACTCAGTTATGGGGGATGATGAGGGCTTCCATCCTTGTGAGTGGCAAAGAAAGAGTGAAGATACAGGTGATGGGAGATGAAAAGGTTGATGAATTGGGAGGTAAGGATATTTGAAGGGATATCAATATATATGCCAAAATCCCTAAGTATGAGAGCAGATGGACAGAAAGGCCAATACAGGTATGGACCTCCTTGTGAAATGAGAGATATTGGTCTAGAGGTTGGTAGGTTTTAGCAATGGGTCTGACAAGTTGATATACACATATACACACATACATATGTGTGTGTATGAAATTAGCCTAAAAGGAGGACAAGCTACAGTTTTTAAAAATTCAATTTTATTTTATTTTAGTCCTCAATCATCTCTCTCCCTTCTTCCCACTGCTCCACCCATTGAGAAGACAAAACAAAACAAAACAAAATATGTATAGTCATGCAAGATACATTTCTGCATTATCCATGTCCAAAAATAAAAAATAAACGTAAAGGCAAGAAAACATGCTTCAATCTGCAGTCTGAATCCATTAGCTTTCAATTTTTGCAAAGTATTAACCAAATCAGCCTTTTTATGCTCCCTTCTGAACTTTGTTAGCTTCTCTGTGTTTAAATTTTTTATTGATGCTCTTTTTTTTTTTTGGTATCTCCGTCACTACCCATTAAGCCTTCCCCTCATATAAGTTCTCTCCTACAATAAATAAATAAATATAGCCAAGCAAAACAAATCAACATTAC